GTCCTTGTTACTGTCTCCCTTCGCATGGCATTATTTTTTTCCAAGTTTTTGCCACTTTTTATGAGGCCCTATATAGAGGCCTTTTACTTGATTTCTCTTCCGGGCGGCTTCAGTATACCTTATTTTCTTTATTTAGAGTTCGACACGAACGCAAAGATGTGCCGGCTCCTACTAAAACACACGTAAGCAGTCGTGAACCCTTGAGCCATTCGAACAATCGTCTATCTACTCCGTTGATCTCCCTCTCCTTCGAGAAAAGCCCAAAGCAGAAGGTGTTGGTCCTCTAGTATCATAAGTACAAGGGCTGAAAACAGTTTTCTTTACCAAAACATATGTAAGCATTTGCAGAAATGGCGTTGTGCAATGAACACACAATGGCTGATTGTGAGGCCTCTCCAAGCAGTTCGCATTGCCCGAAGTGATGAAAGAGGAATCCACGAACAACGACGTAAAGTCAAAGAGTACTGTTCTCTAGATCGTCTTTTGTCTGGCTGTCGCATTTCTACTTTCTTGCCCCTGTTATGGTTGTATTTGGTTTACCTGATGTTCCCTCAGCTTCTCAATCACCTTTCTCTTCTTCACACGCGCACCAGCGATGACGCTATAAATCTCAATAGGCGCGGTCAGAGACGTTACGTGGGCCCGGGTCGCTCAATTACGGTGCGCCATGCGCCCGAAACAAAAGCCAAAGAAATCCAGTCAACCAAATGAGCAACATACGTCAAGCCTCTTGGATTGCCCTATTCACTGTTGTTTCGACATGGATGAAGCAGAAGAAAACAAGAATCGAAGATTAGTTTGGACGTGGTTCAACCGGCCATCAACGCCCGCCCAGTCATGCTACACAGGCATAGTGCTTCCGCCACCCCCCTATAGATAACCCCCCGCAATACATGCGGCAAGTTGGAAGATATATGCCGTAGAAGGAGAATGATCATTCCAGAAGAGTGAAAGGCGCTACAGTAATCAGTCCTGCCAGGATCATCAAGCGGCAAACCCACATAGGGGCCGCTTACGCCTCCACCAGGCGCGCGCGAGGAGTCACACGGGTCTGACTGGCTGCAGAAACCAACAGCACTTTTCGCCCCCCGCCCGATGGCGAGAGCCACTTCATCGCTTCGCTTGGCAGCCAGAGTAATTGCTCCATTTAATGGACGGCAGGTTCTCTCGCGATGGCGCAAAATTCCTTATCGTTGACGCTTCCTAGTGCTACACCTCCTTTGCTAATCGGAACTGGAAGACAATCGGTTTTGCGGGAACAAGAGGTGAGATCCACTCCGATCGAAACCCCTCCACGGTACTTCTTTCTTGTACACCAATGGCAGCAGCCAGTATTAATTCGACAGGCAACTCAGGAGCAGTCCGTCTTGTGGAAGTCCGGGCCAAGTGGGCCGCGTAAAGACGGATCAACTGTAGTTACTTCAGAGCTGAGTACGAACAAGAGCCGAAGGCGGCCTGAGAAGCCGAGTTAAAGCTGCCCGAGAATTCTGCAACGGAGGTAGTATAGTTTCTCTCGGTCCCCATACAAGGTACCTGCACTGCTTACCGATATCTGTTTCGACTCATCATCTTTCAGTAATCTCTTTCCTCTTCTATTCTTCTTTTCAACCTCTTTTCCAGGCTTTACTTTGTGGGGTGTTTTCCTTAGAGGCATTTTCACATGAGTCTCCACCAGACTGTACACCATTTAAATCGAACTCCTTCTTAGTTCCAATGAATACCGTCATGTGTAGTCGATACTCATCCAGAATTGTGGCCGGTCGGCCTGCACTCTGGATGTCTGGAGGGACGCCCGAATTGGAATAGAATCTCGGCAAAAATGTTTGATAATGCAAGAAAGGTTAGTCATTCGCTTGGAACCATGCTCCTGAGGTACACGAGAGAACGTCACAGTTCGTCAGTTTCTGTAGTTTCGTACGACAATCACGCGGTAACGGCCTGCTTGCTCCATATTCTCGTGCCTTTTTGACACAAGACTTAATTTGAGGATGGAGATTGTGCGAAACAGTTCATTCGCTGTGGACTGGCGGAAAACGCTCAAGAAATCTAGTGTTCCACCTGGGTGTTTGGAAGTGTCGGTGAAAAAGGAGAACGATTCGGAAATCAGTACACTGCCTTGCTCCAGTCATGTTATATCGATCGTTGATGTTGATCCACTTCACAATGCCACTGCTAAAAATGGTGTTGGGTTTACGCATGAGAACATTGTCGAAACAGCAACTCCATCTTCGGTTGTTGGTGATGGAGTTGATCAGAAAGTGCCGGAAGATTTGAAGGATAAAATCAAGAGCGCCGCTGCGGGAAAGGAGGTGCCTGCGCTTGTGAGTAACGGTCGGGAAGAAAGGGAGAAGACGAAGCGTGACGTATTAGTGACTCCAAAGGCGTTTTCTGTGAAGCGTGATGGATTCGATTCAATGCCACAGGTATTCTCAGAGAAAAGACAATCAACCCCGGAAAAGAAAACTTCAAAAATCGAAGTCTCTGAGAAGGATCAAAGAAGGCTGAATGGAACACCCAATAAGGTTGCACAGGCCAAGGTTAAGACCGAAATAAACGAAGCAGGATATGATGATGAACAAAGTCCATCCGAGAAGAAGAAGGACCAAGAAAAGTCATCGCATTCTCACAGATCCGGCTCACTTTCTAAGGCTAGTCATCCACAATACTTTTTTATAGCATGCATCAGCAATAGTCTACATATTTTGTTGCTACCTTAAAGTTTGCTTTGTTACTTTCTTCTTCGATGCATTTTCTTTCCAATGTTTTTGTTTTCTTAGGAGGCTCCTCATAGAGGCCTTTTGATTAAATTTCTCTCTGGGCTTCAGTATCCTATTTTCTTTTAGAGTTCGACACCGAGCAAAGATGTGCGCGGTCCTACTAAAACACCACGTAAGCAAAGTCGTGCAACCCTTGAGCCATCGACATCGTCTTCTACTTCCGTGGTATCTCCATCTCCCTCAAAGAAGCCCAAGCAGAAGGTGTTGTCCTCAGTAGCATAGTACAAGGGCGTAAAAGGTTTCTAGCAAACTATGTAAGCATTTTCAGAATGGCGTTGATGAACACAATGCTGATTGTGAGGCTACTTCAAGCAGTTCCATGCGAAGTCATAAAGAGGAATCACGAAAACCGAGTAAAGTCAAAGAGTATGTTCTTAGATCGTCTTTTTTTTGGCTGTGCATTCTGTTTTTTCCCTGTTATGGTTGTTTGTGGTTTTACTGATGTTCCCTCAGTTTCATTTTCCTTTTAACTATTGCTAATCGGAAGTGAAAGATCGTTTTGCAGGGAAAAGAGTGAGTTCCACTCGCGAACCCCTCCACGTCTTCTGTTCTTTACACCAATGGCACCAGCAGTATTATTGACAGCAACTCAGGAAGTCCGTCTTGTGACAGTCCGGCCAAGTGCGTCAAAGACAACTGTAGTACTTCAAGCGATACGAAAGAACCAAGGGGTGAGAAGCGAGATAAACTGCCGAGAATTTCCAACAAGGTTAGTTTTACGGAATCCGGTTCTGACTGCTCTACGATTCAATTTCCTTTGTAATTTTTCCCTTTTCATTCTTCTTTCAACTCTTTTCAGGCTTTTTTTGTTTTTCTAGAGGCATTTTCAATGATAAGATGTACCATTTATCAAATTTCCTTTCTAGTTCCGAAAATACGTCATTGTTGATACTCATCCAAATGGTGGTGCATCTATTCTGAGAACGGATTGGAATAACATTCGCAAAAATTTTGATAATGAAGAAAGGTTAGTAGTTTTGGAACATGCTCCTGGTAACGAGAGAGTCATAATTGTCAGTTTCTGTAGTTTCGTAGACAAGGTACGGCTGTTTCTTAATTTTCTGCCTTTTTACACAAACTTTTTAAGGATGGAATTTGCGAAACAGTTCATCCGGCTTGGACTGGCGGAATCAAACGGTGTTCCTGTGTTTGTGATCGGCGTACTTGAAAATGCCGCTTCATATCTTGTTGTAAGTTCATGTCGACCTTGCTGAACTTTTTTTTAGTTTTGTGTTACAATTTCAGGACGTCTTTCAATATCTACACGACAAACATCCACATTTGCCAGTGAAAGTGAGTTCCTGCTAGTCATTTCCGTTGCCTTTTTTTTTGTCATAGGTGTCTAAAACACGCTTGTTGTAAGTAACAAATGTTGCCAATATCTCTGCAATTTCTTTTTTATCCTTGTTTAATTTCCTCAGAAGGTTTCTCTAGGTGTTTCTTTAATGAGGTGCTTGCTACTGCTACCGTATCAGTGATGGCTTTGACCGTCACCGCGTCATGTTAAAGCAAGTTCGACCT